GTAGACTATCCATTCAGAATTTCGATTTTGATGATAAGCCCGATAATCGCACAAAGCGAAAATTGCGAGACGAGGCAAGGATTTTTACGAATTTGCCGCTATTAAATAAAATAGCCAAGCAGCTATACGTCTGATTAGCAGTGGCCTATTAATCCCGCATGAATAGCAAATGGACGGGCATGCACATGACTGGGAGGGACCAAGGGAGGGGATGAGGGCAGCCACGGTCGGGCCGGTATGCGGGAAAACGCCGAGACGGAGTGAAACCACTAAGGGCGTTAATGATGAAGGGAAGGAATCTAATAGTTTATGCCAATGAGGAAGTTTCGCAGTGGTACACTATTCCAGAAGAGACAGAGAATGAATAGAATATCATTTTTTTTGAAATAATTTAGAATTTACAGCTTCAGTGTAGCATACGATAATGCTATCCATGATTGTGTCGACGCGTTGGAGCCAAGGAGGAAGGTAGAGCTTATCAGAAAGGTGAAGAGTAAATGACACTGGCTCAGACGAGCAAGCCCAGAATGTAAAAAAATGCGCCTCCCTGACACTAATTAAAAGTGCCACGTGACAAAATAGTGAACAAATACGAGTAAATATATGGAGACATTGAAATTCAGCCAGCCTGTGGATTGACAAATAAATCAGTCATTTATTAGTTCGTTAACTAGTCGAAGGTGTTAAGACGAACGAAGAATAAGTAATGTAATATACGAAAAATAAATGTGCATCATCAACACCCCTACCAAAGAATGTACTATGTCCTGTGACCCAAGAACACTTGTGGGAATTTGGCGTAGTGGTCAACGTGAAATGTAATGAAAACGTCAGCTCTATTGATAAATAATTGTGACAAAATTTAGCTACTAGTGCATCGTCAACTTAAAAGACGGAATGAATACATCTCATATAATTGTGCATGAAGTTGCAGTGTCATTGTGCCAGGAAAACAACTATATATGCGTCAACCAGTATTCTAATCATGGATTAAACCAGTCAGCCAAGTAATGCATATCGTTGGGTGATGAGTGGTGAGAAGCGGGCAAACTACGTCGTGACATCGCGATTAGCAGCAAATCTCGAATGCCCAACCAAGTCAACATGAGTCTAGCCAGTAAAGGAAAATATAATGCAAATGTCGGCTGCGGCGGACAAGGGCGTAGCTGATTTGAAGCCCGATTACTGGCGGCCTATTAAGGGAGTGAAGAGGGTCCAGGCGAACGGTGCATGTAGGCATTAGGGATCGGGGGAAGTGGAAAGGTTATACATTAAACCCGAGGCATGGATGGGCAAAAGAAGAGGCAGGAGTGAGCAAGAGAGAAAGGAAAAGATGACCAAAGAGAGATGGGATAATAGGAGAGAAAATGGGTCAAAAGAAAGGAGGAAATAAGAAAAAAAGGAGAGAAGACACGAACAGGAAAGAAATGAAAGAGGAGAGAGGACGTTGAGATCGGAGTCACCAATCGGTTGCATTGTGAGCCGGAAAGAAAGTGAACTCTCGGGAGGTAGAGGAGAGCGAACCTTGGACAGTGGTGAGAAGAGGAGCAGACAAAGGAAGACAAAGAAGAGCCAAATCGTTAGATATTTCGTGACCGGGCCAACAGAAGGCAATTTATGTGACGGCCAAAAGCAGGGCCCTCAATAGTTTCGGTCAGAGACGGGAAGGTGAGCTGTTACCCATCCGGACAAAGGGACAGCATTAAAAGGGGGCGGGAACGATGACTCACAAAACCAGATGAACACGCCTCCGGCAAGACCAAAGAAGAGCCAACGCTCTGACCCTCAGACTGTTCGAAAAGCGGCCTGCTTCTCCACCTTCCTCTCTAACTCTGTCTCCACTGTACTATCTGCATGTCTGCCGATTAGGACATCAAAATCATCGTCGCCAACATCATCATCACCCTCCACCAAGCAGAAACGTATGGGTATCGCCATGATCCATTGTCTAGCCGACTGACCGACAGACGCACAGACTGCCAAAAATCCTTCTGACTGCCACCTAGTCAATCCTAGATGTGAGTACAGATTGTACCACAATTTGTATTAAACATTATATTCCTATAAATGAGCCTCCTTATCGTCCATCTTATTCTTTGTTCGGGTAAGGCTGAGATCGTCTCTCTTCCGTCAAACAGATATCCTTTTCTAGCATATTATGGCATAGCATAGCATAGCATAATACAATATAGTATATTATATTATAATATAGTATAGTATAGTATAGTACAGTATATTATATTATATTATAATATAGTATAGTTTAGTACAGTATAGTAAAGGATAGTATAGTACACTTTAGCATATATATTATAAAATATATATTGCTAAATTATATTAAACTGTCTGTCTATTTGTCAGTCAATAAAGCAACGTTACCACGCTTTTGCATCCATATCTACCTAGTCCTATTTTGCTTTGGGCGGAAGATGAGACTTGTTTGATGAGCCGCCTTGATAGTAGAGCCTCTCTCGCAACAACATAGACGTCTTACAAGGTCTATTGTAAATGAGTTAACGAGTAATTCATGTTTGGCTTGCTTGCTTGCTTGCTGTCTCGCTATCACAAAGAGGTTTTTAGGATGGTTTACATCTGAACAAAATCAGCCTTGTTGTCCTAAAAGATACAGAGCGCCTAGACGGAAAAACAGTAACGAGGTCGAATTTAGACAATTCTTACTAGCGTTAGCTTCTATGCCCCACAATGTCGCAGACATACTTCGAGAGGATGCGAAATAACGAGCTGGTTATGAGCCTATCCTTAAGGGAATGGAGAAAAATTGCTCTGTAGCGTGAACTAATGGTTAATGTGGCTTATTCATGTAATTACAGTCTTGCAGGTTGCAGTAAAAGCCGAGAAGGCAAATAATGGAGAGCGAGAATTATCAATTTTTGTGTATAGGAAGGATGAAAACATGTGATGATGAAAGGAGTCTAGACGACAAATACTAAATACTAAAAAGAAGACGATTTTGTCAACCTCGAGCCAATGTATCGGTCTTAGAAACCAGCAGGTAGATCTACAAGGTAAAAATTGCGGTCAGTCTGACGATTTAGCAGATTGCAGAAAATTTTCTGTTTCAAAGAATCCCTCAATAAATTTATGTTGTTGTACCTTTCAGTTTGTCTAAACAAAAGATGGAAGGATTCGTAAATAGGCCTCAGAGTAAATCTATGGCTCCAGAATCCATAGCTAAGAGGTAATCTTCCCTCGGCTTCACGGAAGGCCTGGATACGAACCCCTCTTTACGACAATTTACCAACCACGAAGACAACTTACGAATCCTCTCCACTCGCCTCTTCACACAAAATGAAAGGTACTCCAAAATCAGTCTATTAGGGAATTTTTCGAAAGCCAGTTCTCCACACATTTCTAAACGGAATAAACTGAATAGAGTTTGTTTGACCTTGTTTTCACAACATGGTCATGTTGGTAGGAAGACTTATTGGAACGCATCTAGTCCGGGTTCCATTGTCTGCATGATCATTTCCAAAGTTGACCCGTAGACGTGATACATTCCCAACTTTGGAAATGAG